GGGAGCTCTCGCTCGGAGCTCTCAACGGCATCGTCATCTCGCGATCGATCAATCATCGCATCCGGATCACGTATTTTCGTCACCTTCCTCGTTGGTAATTTTTTTTTGCAATCGGTCAAGAAGAAAAAAAAACAAACATTAACGCTCGCTCGAAAAGGGGAGGATGGAAGAAGAGGATGAGGAGGGCGAGGGGGTAGTGCGTCACCGCTTGAGCTGACGGTCGAGGGAGAGAGAGAGAGAGAGTGGGAGAGTGAGAGTGGGAGAGCAAGAGAGATCGAGCGAGAGGACACGCGAGCGGACGATGAGAGGGCGAGAGCCAGCGAAAGATATATTAATATTTACACACACGCATACACAGGAAATAAAGGGAAAAAAAGCGATAAATTACACATACATATTATGCTCTTGCGAAATACATGACAATAACGAGCAAAAGTTGAACGCAAATGATAAAAGAGTAAAAAAAAAAAAAATACAAGTTATACTCGCGAGAAGAAACGTATCGCGTGAACGAAGCGAATCGCGATAATCAACAGCGCGTATCACGTGTCATCCAGATGATATCGTATCCTATAAACTTAATTGTAATTTATAAAGAGAGACGAAGTATGTATTTATTAAAGTAAATAAGCAATAAAGATAAGAACTAAAGATCCCCTCGTTTCCCGATCACCCATCTGAAACTTTCATAGGAACAATAGCTTGTTGTATCGCAGATGCGAGGGAATTATTTGAGCTATGTAATCAATTGAATTTCTCGTGCATAATCTAATATATATATATATATATATTTTATATATATATATAATTATAAATGAGCCAAGTACGTCAGGAGAATTAGAAAAAGGAAATAAAAAAATAATTATAATTAATTAAAAATTGTGCTAATTAATATTGTTAATCTTTATTACCTTGAGAAATTTCAATTTCAGTGATTACATTTGTACTTATGCTACTCCGTCAAAATTTCTTACATGAGAGATTCTAAAAGATTTCTCTAAAAGATTCTTCAGAGACTTTGAGATTCGTAAATTTAAGATTGCTGCTTCGAAGCTACCTATGATTCTTCTTCGCATCAGTTCGCGTGAGCTGCTTGAATTGTCCCTTAAGAAGCTCCCACTGCGTCCACTTGTCGGAACTGACGTGGAATTCCTTGCACGTTTGCAGAAAGGCAGGCACGCACAGGTGTAGATAGTGATGGTCTACGGTGGGCAACAGGTGGTGAAGCGTGTGCGAGCCGAAGTTGGTGAGCGCCAGGAAGATCGAGTCATCGATTATCTCGCGATCACGCACGGAGTCCAACTCGAGTAGACCCCAGTCCAAGTCGTCCCTTAGAAATAGCGATAATTAGAAAGATTATGAAAAATGTATTAAATTTTGGAAAATTTACCTGTAAATATCGCCGTCGTGAAAGATATCGGGATGATGATGAGCCGCGTTAAAACCAATCAAGCCGAACAAAGCGCTACTCAACAGAATCATTATCAGCCACAACTTGAAGGCGATAAGAATCTTCGGCGCGAAGAAACACATCGACAAAGGCAGCACAAACGGCACCAAGTCACGAAATTCAAAGATTCGATATTCTTTGAATACTGAATAGTATCTGGAAAGGATTAAAACCTTCAACTCTCAATGTCAACATTCAACGCACGAAGGAATGTTTTTCAAAGATTGTTATCAAACATTTGCGATATTTATATCAAGATTTTAAATTTAAATTTCTTTGAAAAGGATATTTTGCTATGAAAATTAGAGATTGTATTAATATTAAAATTAAAATTCTAAATTTCGAGATATGAATTAACAATTCTTTTTCGATTTTAATGAGAAATCGCGAGATGAAGTATTACCGCTTTAAGCCTTCAGTAGTGAACAATAACATCCAGACAATAGGGCTGATAATCCTGCTTATCATCGCTATTAAGTAAGATTTATTCTTGTCGGGAATCCACTGCAAGAACGGCTCGGCCACATAGATCTCGTAATCCCACATGGTGTTGGTGTACATATGGTGGCTCATCACGTGCGTGATGCGCCAATTCTTCGAAGAAATCATACTAAGATCAAAGTAGTACATACGAAAGTTGTCTCTCATGTGGAAATAATTGTGCGCCGCGACAGTGGTCCATGTCAAGAAAATACCTATAAATTGTCGTTCAATAATCAAGTGAATATCACACATTTCCAAAAAATTAACAATTATTTTCACCTCGATTGCTCAAACACAGTTTTTGAATAACAAATTAAGAAATATTCTAAATACTGTCATGTTACAATTATTTTATGACTTTGTAAAAGCTTACTGGCGAGGACGATAGCAGCGTAAGAATGAGTAAGGGCGCTGGTGAGACTTAGCGCGAAAGTCGCGATCACTAAGGAATCGGTAATAAGATTTGTCGTCATGGACGGCCGATGGAAATCGACGCTCTTCAAGGCCTCGGATGCGCGCTTTTTGAATGTACGATAAAAGCCGTCCGGAAGGAAGGTCAGTGATACCGACCGCGGCGTCGTCGTTTCGCGAACGTAGTATTTCGGTAACAGTCGCTCAGCCCTTTCGGTGATGTGATGACTCTACAATGTCGACGTTAAAATTGTAGAAATGCAGATATGACAATTCTAAGTTCACTTACAGCTTTGATGAATTTTATTTCAAAAATTTTATCATCAACATATTTAACATTTAAATTAAAAATTAATTGGCGCTTTTACGTAAAGCATTTAATCGTAAAAAATGGAATGAAAATAATGTCGCTTCAAGATAAATAATTTTGACTTGATACCTCGAACAATTCGGTAATATCGGTTCCCTTCGTGAGCTCAATCCATTCCGCGCCTCCCGGATGTAATTTCGCGAAATTCTCTAAATCGTAAAGTCGATTTCCAATCCTCCATAATCCTTCCGCATTATCAATCTTTCTTCTGGCTTGAAGAAAACCCGCTGCGGTTTTGCTCGGATTTTCTCTAGCCGGCAAATAAGCCAAGCCAGGCACCGTGCTAGTTTTCGGCATATTGAAGATATTTCTGATTTTGCCTATAAAACATATGCAAGAATATGGCTTATCTAATTTAGAAGTATTTCAATGAAATTTAAGCTACAAACCTTCGTAGTGCTCTAAACAGTTTTCTATCGACGTGCATAAATTTTAAAATTGTCACTAATTGTAAGCAATAAAAGATTCAAAATATTTTCGTAAAAATCGTTAAAATAACTTTACATAAGTGTATGTATAGAGAATGCATTGTATTTAAATAAAAGAGTTTATTATCGTGACTTTTTACAATAACAAGTAACACTCGCACTCAGTGCCGGATCTACACATAAGCTAGATAAGCTACAGCCTAGGGGCCTCACATTATAAGGGGGCCTCTTTAGTATAGAAAAGATTTTTTTAAAATGTATTTTTTGTTAATAAGAGGGGGCCTCCTTAAGATCATAGCTTAGGGGCCACAAAATCGTACATCCGACCCTGCTCGCACTACAGATTACAAACCAAAACTGAAAAACACTCGTACAGATTATGGGCCAAATAAAAGAAACACGAATCTGATATGAATTAAACACATCGACGTTAACGTATTGATGTATTGATGTTTTATTTGCCTAGTGCTTAACTATGACACGCGCAATCACAAATTAAATCGTAATGCAAGGAATTAAATATCTATTCGAACCAAATATTTAAATTCTAACAATTCATATTGATCAAAAGTAACACATTTTTCTCGTTGAATAAATAATTTAATAATGGCAATAATAAAATAATTAAAAGAATACGATTATTAATCTAATAATTACAAAAAATCTTTAAAAGAATTATTTATTCGAAAATTGTTAAAAATTTACTCAATAATTATAGTTATCAATTTAATATTTTCTAATAAAATTATTTGATCGTTGCAAAATATCATGACACTGCGGAATGATTCAATTATCTCAATTGTCGTCACACTGATATCACATGATACACTTAACATTGGCAAAATCACTCTCATTTGGTTATTGAAATGTTATACACGCGATGTGAAAGTATAAGTTCTTTTTACTCACAATTCAACGCCGCGACAATATTTCCGTGTTCTATCTTAACGTATCCGTGTTTGATGTGCTTTATATAATATCGGTTGATCAAGTAATGCCTTTCTCCAATTTATTGAATTACAAGCAGAGCACAATCAACGCGAGACTATCACGTCCGTGTATTTTCCCGGAATGATCACTGATATCAGCCTTTGGTCGAGGCTGCACTCAACCTCGAAAATGTGTGGAGACACTACGTCAGTTCGTTGCGTGCAGTAATTATATAATAATAAAAAATTCAGGCTGTTTTAAATGCATTTCACAACAAAAATAACTTTGAAAGAAAGCCAGAAAATATATTTCATAAAATATAAATGCGATAGATTTTAGAAAAAAATTCTAGAAGCTTTAAAAAAATTTATTCTAAATATCAATTATTAATAATTATTAAATTATTTATTAAACATGTTTATTTTTACATACGTAAAAGTAGAAGAAACTTCGATGATGTTGCGGGAGAATTTGTGTCCAACGTTATCAAGATCTATGTTATGCGAGAGATATCAATAATAATGATAACAGAAAATACTAAAATTGATTAAACTGCAAAAATGAATATTAACGGCAATAATTTGTTAAAGCTCGATAAAATTAGTTATTATTATCGGAAGCTGAGACACTACATTATTCGCGATTAAGAAGACACAACTATTAATATATGCACGGCATACATTTATATGCAAAGTAAGCACTGATTGATCAGACCCGACGTCAGAAGTGGTTTGCTCTTTAACCTTGATAATGCTTAATCAGCAAATAAACAACTTATAAATAAGGCATTGAAGCGCATAAAACGAACTTTATTTAGCAAACGCTCTGACAATCACATTGTTGGCGATTCGTTCTCCATTTATATTGTTATCGTTTTTGCAAAAATATAGGTGATTTAAGAAAAACAAGAGGGAAAGAAAAGAAAGAAATAAATATTGCAATAATAAGAATGTAAAACGGATTGAGCGAAATAATTACACAGAACAATGTTTTTGCAATAAATTTTTATTTTGCACTGATTCTGCATTGATTCTTAGAAAACCTGTTCTAAGTAAAAATAATATAATATTTTTGTGATTAACATCTTAAACTCTACACTAATACGGTTATATAATATCTGTTGAAGGTCAGTATTTTATTATTTGAGCATTTTTCACGATTTCTTGTAAGAAATCTTGTAAAAAACAAATAACTCAAGAAATGCATACGAAATATATTATAGATAAGGAAAATTGATTATTTCGTATCAATTCATGTTTACACAAAAATAATGCTTTTTGCGTTATCTGTTTGCGTTTATCCGCATCGATATTTTTACTTTTTGCTAATATTTCTAAAGATCATGTGTTTACATAATATCTTATAATCTCTTCTGAGAATAAAATCATCGTGCATTAATATTATTTTTTAATATATAAAACCTGTTCTTTCAACAGCGTATTATATTTCTTGCGTTTTAAATATTAATTTTCATAAATAAATTAATACCACAACTTGTGCATTTTTATTTATAAATTCGTTAATGTTGTCTAAAACAAGAATTAATTTCGCGATCACATAAGATTAATTCATTAATTAATTTCGAATTTTAATCGATCAAAATAAATTCTTATTTCAGACAACGCTAATAAAGCTACAGGTAAAAAAAGTTTTGAGGATATGATACGATAAAGGATACGATAGTAATTTATTTTTCGAAATTAAAATTTGAAATGCAAAAATATAATATTATTATATGATATATAAAATATTTCGCGACGTATTAAGAAATTCAGAGTTTATACACGAAGCACACGTGTTATTGTTTTTTATTATTTACACATTCCATTCTTCTATTATCTCTTTCTATTCTGATATCATATCATGCATACTTCGTATGATATGATATCCGTATCCCCTCAACAATATTCCTTCCAGGCAAGCGCGCCGATATCTTCTAGGCCTGCGCTACGTCTATAATATATCCCCACTCCTGCTCCTTACCTGTAGTTAATCGCACAGCAGCACTCGCATTGGTAGGATTATCTTTATAAATGCGTCACCCCCTCCAATACTATCCCTTACTACTCTCCACAGCTTTGCACCACCCTCCCCCCATTCCGTCGCTACCTGTTGCGTACACAGCACGGTGTCGAACGTGTATTCCGTGCGATGCGTATTCGAGTTTTTTTGTCTGACATGTCCAAATAAAAAATTTAATTGCAACGTATTAATTATTCTACTTTTTTAATATCCTTTTCTTGCATTTTATTTTTGTGACATTCGCACAACAATCTTTCCTATCATATTGTTTGATGTTACCGCATGAAAATTTTAATTCTTTAATTATATTCAATTTTCAGATTTTAATTTAACATTTTTGTCAGGTTTTAATTAAAGTTTTCATTTTTTAGCTTCTAATTAAATGTTTTAATTTTTTAGATTTTGATTGAATGTCTTTATTTTTCAGATTTTAATTTAATTTTTTATTTGTGATGTAATTTAATACGTTGTTTTAATCTAATTTTTATCTTTTATTTTTAACAAAACTTACAGTATATTCTGAAACATCAGATTTTGTTCACTTATTTTACAGAAAACGACGATATGAATTATTATTTACAAATGTCTATTGCATTTTTCATCGCTTGCAATTTGCTTTGTCTATAATAAATATGTAAACAGCATTTGTCACAGTGGTAAATTTCTAAATGTTTCTTTAAAATTCTCTTGTTTTTTGTAGCATATATGAACAGATTTACTGTGATCAGGAAATGTTGTGGAAAGAAAATGTAATATATCAATTTTTATTAACAAAAAATGTAATAAGGTAAGTGCTTCAATGGCTGGGCAAAAAAGTATTACTTTAATGGAATAAATTATATCTTCAGTAATGATTAACTTTTCATTTCCGACCATTGAGTCATTTACCTTACATGATCCAAATTTATCAAAGTCTACTTTTTATTGTGTAATATATACATATTATATTATTATTATATATAATACGTTTCCTTAATTCGATGTTATTTATTTATTTTATACTGTTTTGTATTTGGCTTAATAAAAAAAATACTTTTTCGACAAACAACGCATTTCAAAACTTAACGTTTTGAAAAATCTTCTTTTTATCGAATGGATCGGCATAAATGATGGAGATTTTATTTATTTAATTTGTCGGGAGAAAAATACAAATGATAACTCTGTTAATTTCCATTACATTTTTCCAGTACTTCTCGGTGTTTTCGATAAGGACCTCGGAACAATAAACAAATTAAAAACATATAAGGATATTATAAATGTAATAAAACGTTTCTCGTATATATATATATATTATAGATTAAATACTAGATTTAAAAAATCTGTCAAATTATGCATGCAATGAAAAAAGTTACCTGCGCTGAAAAGATAAAGTACATCGCGATTCGTTCTCCGGCGATCGTATTCAAGGGACGAACCTGTTCGTAAGGTGTGCAGATGTGATATAAGTCAATGACCACGATGCACGCACCAGGTGCGTAAATACTCACGCGATGACTCGTCAGGCCAATCATTTCAATCGTCCGCGCGTCTTTGTCCGATTTCCATCAAGTTCTCCGGAGAACTCGCAAATGTCATCACGACGAAGATTCACCATTGTGTTTTTGCAATACTCAGTGAAATATAAATTTTACGCATTTCTAATAATCATCATCGATCAGTTGTTTTTGCATTATATAACGCGACTTTATCGACGTCATATGAACATTCGCAATTCGTGTGACGAAGTCGTGTAACAACTGCAGTCAGAGGTCGAAAAATTAGAATAAAGTAGGAAATATAGAAATGTCACAATTACATAATAATTATTAATATTAATAATTTGATAGCAACATAATAAATATAAAATAACATTTTTATATAAAATTTCGCAAAATAAAAATAAGAAAAGTAAAAATATCATTACTCCTGTAATTAGAGATTTTTTTTCTAGATGTATATATTATATTACATCTCATACATAAATATAATGGCAATTCCAGCGTAAACAGATAATAATAATATACGTCCAAAGCGAGAATTTTTCTTTAAGATTCCGCGATAGGCGGGAGGAGAAAAAACGAACAGTTTTTTTCTAATTAGAAAAAATTGTACTGTGCATGAGAAAGCTATGCAACTGTTATTAATTTATTAATCACATATATGCACTATAGTTTACATAAACCAAAACTCCAATAAAAGTTGCTTAAAACTGCCAATCTGCAAAATCGAATAAAAATTCTTTTTTTTTTTATAGGAACACTCGGAAAGATTGTTTAAAAATCTTGTGTACACTATAGTTAATAACATAATTGTTTGCTGTCCAAATAATTCGCAAAAATTCTTTGTATACTTCTTTTTTCAGTTGTCGAAACTTTTAGAAAATATCTATAATTAGAGTAATAAAAAATATTATAATTATAATTATAATTAAAGTGAACATACTAATAAACTACATTTTTCTCGGCTCTGTATATAAAATCAAGTGAAATAATTGAACGGGATAATGAATAAGTTTTCAATGGAAAAAATTAATAACCGTAATTTTATAATTGTAGTTAAATACATGTGTCATCATTTTCTTTTATAACAGCCATAACTTATATGACAAGCAACAATTCTATTGCTGAATCTTCATTAAACCGTTTCGTTCACTCAATCACTTCACTTGACATTATTTTAAATAATGGAAATTAATTATTTTCTTAGAGAACACTGATAACATTAAAGTAAATATTTAATACCTCTCTTCTTCTTTCTCTTTGCTATTTTTATCTATATTTTTTTCTTTTTAATTATACTTTTAATAATTTATATGTGTAATTCTATTTTTATAATTATTCTCGAATTTTTCTGTCGCCACTTTTCTTACCGTTTCAAACAAGAGCTTCGAATAGGCACATTATCAGTATCATTGTCACGAGAATAGACTCGATTTTCATGGTAGTAGCAGAGTTGATTCTCCCGGTAATCCTGGGCGTTGTGCTCATCATGTGATTCCTGTGATCCATGTGATCCATGTGATCCATATGATCCATGTGATCTCTGTGACCCATGTAATCTCTGTGATCGTGCATCATCGCGCATACCGTACCCATGATAAGCTCTTCGGCCGATCCTGTGAGTATTCTGAAGTTATAATCCTGTAGATCCAAATGCGAGTACATAAAAATGGGTAGCTTGTCCGAGAGGATCCACAGATTCCCGTTTCGATCGATCTGCCGAAATAAAAATGCGTAAAGGCACTATAAAACAATCATGAAATAGAGAAGCAGGAAAAATGTAAAAAAATCAGAAATTAATGGATTATTGCTTTGAATCTCAACAAATTTAATCAATTATTTAGATAATAAATGTAATTTAATTTAATTTAATTAATAATAGATAATTTATTTAATAATAAATTTAATAAATCATGGAACTTAGAATATCATTAATTAAATGATGACAAAACGTGAAATTTGCGGTAGACAAGAAAATTACTTGTTAAAGCAGAATAAATTTTCATGCATAATTAATCGATCATTGAATTCCAATAAATTCGTGCTTACCTTGAGATCATTGGGGAAAATCATGGTGATGTTGTCTTGATATACGTAACCTTGCTGTTGTATAAAGAATTTATTTTGCGGTCTCCAGCAGGCAATGGCGTTCAGATTAGTAAGTGCGTAGAAGAGGATTCCTGTTTTCGGATCCAGAAAGCTGACACTGCTTTGACCGTTTGGCCCACGCGAACCCAGTGTTTGGAAATCATGAGACGTTTCTGCGACACGTGTGTGAAATAAACAACTTAATACCTCGATAAATGCTTCTTGCTAAAACACTCTCGTCCTTGAGTCAAATGGAAAACGCATTTAACTATAAATAGACAGTGACCGATTCCTTGAGACTCTTCGTAAATCGATTTCTTTTTCATCTCTAGAAGATCAAGGTAATAATTTTTGAACAACGAATGATTGAAGATCAAGTTTTAATTTTTAACTAAATAATAAAAAGATCTTATTTTAAATTGAATTTTTATATTTTTCCCTTAAAATAAAAAGTAATTAATTATAGCTTCAATAATCGACAGAATCACTAATATAAGCAAATAAAAATATTTTGGTTAAAATTATTAAAAAAAATACGTTTAAAAAATCTCACAAAGCAATTTTAAAAATCTTTCTTATCACAAAAATAATCACAGAAAACACAAGTCTTCGCTCACTATCGCTTGAATGGAGTATATGTTAGATAATCGTAGAAGATTAGACGAGAGATGATTATTATGTCTCTTTTATAGACACAATTTTTTTTACTATACCTGCGGAATTGACGCGTCGAGAATCGCGCAGGAATCTTGTGCTGACAGAAAATTCCATGCCGCTAGAGAGTGGATGATAGTACATGGTGCTGTAACCATCACCGGTCGGAGCTAGAGCCATCCCGAAGAGACCATCGTTCCACTGGAACGATATTCCCGATACCTTGAAGTCTCCGCCCTGCGAAACAAGTTCCTTTGTTCGAACAAATCTCGTTCAAAAGACTAAACAGACTATTTCCACAAATGAATGTTTCCTGTATCGGAAATTAATTTTAATTCAGCTAATCCTAAAATTATTGCAGCAAAAATTATTGACACTAATACACCAAAAAAATTATTTGTAATCAGCAAGAAACGATCGAAAGATAAGTCGTTGCGTTTTCGAATTCCACCGACCAACGGATCCGGATGGAAAGAGTGGTGCCTGACGATCCAGGACTGATGGAGGCTCCAGGAGTACACGATGAGTCCTGGGCCGCCTAGGTCGGCCAGATAGCCGTACGAGTCCTCGCACGAATAGTCCTCGACGGCGATATTGGCGAACAGAGAATCGGCGGTTCTCTGGTCGGGCGGTATCACGTATTTGCGTAGCACGCGATCGTTCGTCAGGTCGTAGATGATCAACGCCGGCGGCGCCTGCTGCTCGGGGGTGCCCAGGATGTCCGTCAGCCCCGTGTCCAGGACCCACAGCCGATTACAACGATCGGCGCGCACGCGAAACGTCGAAACAATCTCGGGCACGCCAGCCGCGCCGTACTGGTGGGCTTCCCAAGAAGGATAAGGGATGAGGGACGGCGATTCGCGTGTGTCTGAAAGCCAGCGAGCTCTATATCGACGATGTCAACTTTTAGTGAGAGAGAGAGAGAGAGAGAGAGAGAGAGAGAGAGAGAGAGAGAGAGAGAGAGAGAGAGAGTAGTTACGTTTACGTTTAC